TTTGTACGATAACTCAGTCCTTTGCTCTTCACTGACCACTGAACACACGTTTCCGAGCGATGCGATTGTGAACCCAATCCTTATGTAGACGATCGCCGATATGGCTGTCAATTCACAGACAATACATCAATGTTTTCACTATAATTGTTTGCAATCATTTGTTACATTTTAATTAATCATTGATTTATGTTTTGCCAATATGTATATACGGTTTAGTCTTATTAAATGTTTTCTACAATTATTTCTGTACTCTATCCGTACGTCACATTTACGTGATTTACTACTTTTATTGTAAAAATGTAATGATTTAAAAGCACGAATACGTTTTGCACACAAACTAACGTTTTATTATTTAATCAATTACCGTAAATATTTAAGCTATTTAATTTAAAACACAAATAATTAAATATTAATTGAACTTATCAATTATTCTACACAACGTTTTATAATAATAAATTGTAAATATTTGAAAGTAAAGAATATAAAGCAACTTACTCCTATAAATAAGAAAAGTTTTACTGCATTTATTTTTATAATGTATTTATAAGTGTTATTTTAAGACTCGTTGGATAAATTCTTTATTTGTTTGTTTCAATGTATTCACAAATAATTTATAATATCCTATTTTGTAAAAGCCGATAGTAAATCTAATTTAAAAATTAGAAAAAAATAATAAATTTTAAAATTAAACTAAATATTAAAATACTTTCAAAATAAAACAATAAACAATTTAAATCAATAAGATTTCGACATTTTATATATAATAATATTTTCAGTTTAATAATTGAAGTCTCTTTTGATAAAAGCATTTTTCGGTGATATTTTTGACACTTTGACAGAATTGTCAAAAAACAAAGACTTATTTAATATTTTATATATTTTACTCATTATTTGAATCGATGGCACAATTTTCAGAGAAATGCGACACTTTTCAAAAAACAACAATTTTATTACAAATGCGAATTATCCGAAACTCACTAGTTCATTTATATTCAGCTTTTTATTTAATTGAAAAATAATAAAATATTATTTAAATTTTAAGTTAAATTTTAGGAAATACAAAAGGAAATCTCAATGTATTATATTTGTTTCAAAATAATATTCGGATTACAGAATATTACACAATAAAAATAATAAGTTCTTGAAATCTGACATTAAATCTAAAGAATTTGATTATTAATTACGATATTTAATTTTTTATTTTTTATTAAGCACTAAATAATTGTCATTAAAAATAATGGTAAATCAATACAATAAATTTATCATAAACTAACCAAATAGTATTCTAAATTTAAGCTACTTTTGAACTTAAGTTATAATTAGAGTATAAGTTAAATAAAAGTTAAATAAGCTACTAAATACTAATTAGCGATTAAGGAATCGCGTGATCAAATATATAATATTGTGTATAAAATTCTCAATCAAATATAAATTAAATGCATATTTTAGTAAATGTTAATTAACATAACTGTATCGACCCAAAAAATTGTCTGTTTTAAGTTATAATGCTAGTGTTATCAGTACTACCAGTGCTAAACTTTATCACATATTCTGAATCCTAAACAATGGCATAATATTCGTGAATATTTTGTGAAGACATCGAACTCTATACCAAATGATGGAAAATGTTTTCATGCGATCGAGGATTCATTTGTTGTCAAAAATAATTGATTAATAGTTTTGAGTTAATGAACTTCATATAAAAAATAAATCTCAAGTGTTACTACGATATTACATACACTGTATTAACTGTTAAGGTTTTTGGTAATACCTATAAATAGTGAATTGATTTTTATGTAAAACTATATTAATTATACTATTTATACAAATTTATATAGTGTTTAATATATTTCACCATTCGTTAAACTTAAATTGAATGTGAGATTTGATAGAAAGTAATACATCTTATACGTGGTTATAGACACAAAAACTGGATTGAAATTGAAGACTTACATAAAGGGATGACATATTGTGTGGCAAACGTAATGATTGTAATCCATAACTGGATGTCTGGCACCGCCTCGGGTGAGACGGTACGACACCTCCTGACGGTCTGTCGGTTGGGTGTGTCCATCGAAATGACACCATTGAAGATAGTGTGCGGCAACGAGTGTATGGCCGCCAACAGCCATATCATGGATATAACGACCACCAGTTTGGAGCAAATGCCAGCGCCGTTAGGGTTGCGGTGCTTGTATTTGGTCTCATATATAGATCGCCACCGATTGATGGCGATGACCAACATCGTGAAGGCCGACACATACACACAACAGGCCTGAATGAATGGCACCAAAATGCAGAACAACTGCCCGAAGATCCAGTCCGTTGTCAGTATATCGACGACAGTGAACGGGATGTTGAATATAGTCATCAAAATGTCAGAAAAGGCCAGATTTGCGATCAATACGTTGGTTGAATTGCGAGGAGTTTTGGTCC